CCTAGGAAAGCTACAAGAAAAGGTGCTCACTAGGCACCGTGGCTCACGCCTCAAAAAAAGAGACTCTGACTCAAAAAAAAAAAAACTGGCACACGCCTGTCATCCCAGCACTTGAGGAGGCGGAGGTAGAAGAATTGCTTGAGCCTAGGAGTTTGAGACCAGCCAGGACAACATAGTGAGACTTCATCTCTTTATAAATAAATACATAAATAAAATAACAATAATACAGCACCTCTAAAATTAGGGTACTTTCAGTTTCAGGTAAGAATGTCTCCTATTCAAGCAGGTTTCACTGATGAGGACATTGATATCACCGAACAAAGTGGGCTTCATTCAATGGTTCACCAAAGTTAGCAAGAATGTAGGATTTTTCCTTCTGTCATCTCTGCTGTTCTCGAAGGTGACCTCACCCCAGACAAGTAGGATGGTGGTGTATCATATTCACCCACAGCATTCAAAGAGAGGACAGCATCTTTTGTTTTCTTTTTTTGAATCGGAGTCTCACTGTCACCCAGGCTGGAGTGCAGTAGGTATGCTCACAGTCACCACAGCCTCTACCTGCTGGGCTCAGGCGATGCTTCCACCTCAGCCTTCCAAGGAGGTGGCACCACAGGCATGTGCCACCACGTCTGGCTAATTTTTTGATTTATTGTAGAGTCAAGGTCTCGCCATGTTGCTCAGGCTGGTCTCGAACTCCTGAGCTCAGGCAATCCTCTCGCCTCTGCCTCCCTAAGTGCTGGGATTACAGGTTTGAGCCACTGCGTCCGTTCTATCATTAGTTTTTACGTAGGTTTTATTTTTATAGGTAATTTAGTTCATATTTAAAACTGTTGTTTACCAAATCAGACAAAACAAAATGTGACATTTTATTTTTATTTATTTATTTTTTTTTGAGTTCGAGTCTCACTCTGTCGCCCAGACTGGAGTGCAGTGGCCGCTCCCGGCCACCGCAGCCTCGACCTGCTGGGCTCCGGCGATCCTTCCACCTCAGCCTTCCAAGTAGCTGGAACTACAGGTGCGCGCTACCACGTCCGGCTAATTTTTGATTGATTGTAGAGATAAGGTCTCGCCAAGTTGCCCAGGTGGGTCTCGAACCCGCGGGCTCAGGCAGTCCACTCACCTCAGCCTCCCAAAGGCGCGGGATTACAGGCTGAGCCACCGAGCCCGGCTAAAATGTGACATTTTAAAGCATTATCTATATATGATTGTAAATACACAAAAAGCAGGCCATTTTAGGCTGCATAGAAGAAAAGACATTTGAGATATTATCACCAAGCAAAAGTCTTGAGCTGTTATGTTGGTGGCATATTTAATCAGTAACAGCAAAATTGAGGAAACTATGAGAGATGTTAGTTTTTCCAAGACTAAAGACCAAGCCTATATGATGGCAAAACATACAGGTATAAAGTTTTCTAATGATTTTCAAACCGTGACCCAAGCATCTCTGCAGAAATGCTGCAGGGATCCTGCAAATGTTTGATTTAAACATACGTACATACACACGTAATTATGGTATATATGTAAAATTATCTACAAAGCTATTGTGAAAAGGACAATAAGCAGAGTTCTTGGTAAATGTGGCATTCTGAGTATACACATATCTTCTCCCTACTGAGGACCCCATTACAAATACAGATATTGGCCGGCAGTGGGGTGGGTGAAAGGTACAATCCAATTAAAAAGAATAGGAGGGGACCATGTGGTCAAGAGATTTCAAGAAATCTCACCACCTCCACTGTCCTGTTGGGTAAGCCTCTACCACAAAGGAGATGGGAGAGAGAGGGGCACGTACCGGGACACAACTGTAGACCTTTAACAGTCAACCATCTCATTTCCTCCATCCTAACAGTGGAATGATCTCCTAGCCCTAGGGCTAAAATCATGTGCATTTATCACTTTTATTTTTTTTTTCAAATGCCATTTGTGCTACAGAAAGCAAAAGATCACACATACTGAAATGTCATACACCAAATTTTAATACATTTGAAACCACTGATGTGTTAACTTGTGCTGTCAGATTTTTGTACAGGCTTCCTGCCATGTCTGTGCATTTAAATTCACTTCTTAGCTGGGCTCGGTGGCTCAGCCTGTAATCCTGTGCTTTGGGAGGCTGAGGTGAGTGAATTGCCTGAGACCGCGGGTTTGAGACCTGCCTGGGCAACTTGGTGAGACCTCATCTCTACATCAAAAATTAGCCGGGCGTGATAGTGTGCGCCTATAGTTCCAGCTACTTGGAAGGCTGAGGTGGAAGGATCGCCAGAGTCCAGCAAGTCGAGGCTGCGGTGGCTGGGAGTGGCCACTGCACTCCAG